TTGCTAACTTTTAAGATCTGATTTATGCCTGCACACAGTAATGCAGTAAAGTTCAAAACCAGAACGGTTGCATGAAAATATGCTCATAGCACATACTAGCTCAAATCACTGTAGAGATTTTTGAATTAATGATGGTGTTCTGAAGATTCATTGTTAATACATGGGTTTTACTCACTGAATTACCGTTCTGTTTAAACGCTGATAATAGCTAAACACAAGAGCAAAAATATGCAGCACCTGGAAATTCATCATGGTGAACAGATCTCAGATAAGATGGCACAACTATTCCCTGAAGGGCGACCCTTCTCCATATCATCCTTGGTTCTAAATTGTTTTATTATCATATCTTCTTCATCATCACCACCTCCACCAGATTAAAAGACACGGGAATTTGTTTTTGCAACATTATACTCATTTGGACCTGCCTATGCCCCCAGACACATGGGTGCAGTTCCTATAGACTTCATTGGGAATTTCACCTGTGGGGGCAGAACGGGGCCCAGCTGAGAGGGGACAAGGTTACTAACACTATAGATGATGGACTTGTAGACCAAAGGGTCAGAGTTTTACAAAAATGGGATAAGATTTAACTCTCTTGTTTACAACAAACAATGCAGAGGGCACAAAAACAGGCAATTTAAGCAACAGCTACATTCTTGCAAGAGCTACAGATGTGAAAACTTCTCCATTTTTTCCTTTAGGAATTTTTAGGCATAAAGACTAAGATCATTGTTATAAAAATGCCTGAATATACTGCTGGGCCAAAATATTGACATTTTCATCCAGAAAAGCCATTTTTTCCAGGGAAACCCACAGTTATCTAGTGCAGGGTCATTTAAGAGGCCATGTTGTGGAAACATGTCCACAAGAAAAACATGGGATGTGGGAACAAACACTCTCCCACCCAAGAGAGGACTGTAGGGAACAAGATGACTGTATTTTCTTAGGGCCTGGGTATTCTAATCCATTCAAATTTGTTTTGAGGGAAAGCTGGAAGGAGGAGTAAAGAAGATGTGGGTGATGGATGAATGCACAAAACTTCAGTACCATTATTGCTGAAACCTCTCATTTCCATGAAAAATTTGAGGAGAAAAAAGGCTAAATTGCTTCTCCATGTGGTGATCTATCCCTGCCCTCTCTACTCTCCATTCCACAAGAGGAGGACATTGTGTTCTGTGCCTAGCTCTATTTTTCTCTTTGCAGTTGTTTCTAGAAGAACCTAATTTGATAATAAAAATCAGCTGTGTTGACTAATTAGTGATTACATCCAATAGGCAAGGCTTTTAAATATAGGTGTACTAGGAGTCTGACTTGTCCATTCAAGTAGAAGAAAGTTTACCACTAAGCAGGCATCACTGGATTACATGGCTGCCAAAGCTTGAAAATATATAAGGTTCCAGATGAAGCTCTAGAGAACTGAGGGACAATGTAAAACTGAAGTAATTCAACTGAAGATGCTTGGATACCACAATAAGTGGTGTTTTAGGGATAATGAACATAGGGGGTTGATGCACTTCCACTTATAGCTATGTTAAGCTGCACTAAGTAGAATTTGGACCATAGTCTTCAAGGCCAAAATTTCCAAATTGGATGCCTGAAGTTAGGTACCTAGGTCCATATTTAGACACCTAAATACAAGTGGCCAAATTTTCAGAGATGCTGTGCATAAGAAAAAAAACTCGGTGTAGACACGATCTTTGAGCCTGATCCCACATTTCTTGCATACTGAAAGCTCTCACTGTGTGCAAGGATTAGGCCATTAATGAATTAAATAATATACAGAGGATCTATGATGAATGAAAAGGCTAGTAATTTTAGGTTACTGAATGCACAAAATGTTTCAAATGAACAACCTGATTTTCTACTTTAGAATCAGAAACTTGTCAGGAGGAATAATATTTTTGCCAAGATGAAAAAATATAATTTATTAAACCACAAAAGGTCATTTTCAAATAGTGTCAGGAAAGGGACTTTAACCCTCATTAGGAAGGAAATTAATTCACTGTATTACACTGAGGTATTGCAGGAAATATGATCCTCTGTCTAAGGCAGAATTCAGGCCGATGTTGTACATTATCTGGGCTGCAGTGCCAAGAGGGTAAGTTTAGGAAAGAATTTACTGGGTTTGGAAAGCTTACACCAACCCATTAAAAAGTTCCTTTAATTTTTTTGTGGTTTAATTTCTTTCCCCCAACCCTCTTCGTAAGTTACAAAAAGGAAATAAATTGCCCCAGAAAAGATATCACATGGCCCAATTTGTAAAGAATTAACATATTTAAGGAGTTTTAAAGCCAGTATAACCCAATAGTCATTTTCATTCTACTGTGTGAATGTATTTACAGAGCATTTTGAAAGCATGTCCTGGAGTTTAGACTGCTTAAATGTAGTAGTCAGAGAATGCAAAAAACAATTATTAAAACTAACTAAACTACTTTTAGTAAACACAAGTAAGAATAATAAATACAAGCCAAGAGAGCCAGAAGCAATGAATATCCAGCTTTTTTCACATTCCTTAGGGAAAGCAAAGAGATTTTTATTTTTACAAAAATAATAATTTTGCTCCTGAACTGAGGCTCTCAGTTACCAGGTTTGAGCCTAGCCCACTTACAAACAGGCATTTACCATGGAAGTTGTTCCAGATTCAGTAAAAGGTGGTTGATACACATCTATCTATACAGCAATTCAAACTGTAGGGGGTTCTCTTTAAAAAGATCTCCTTGCAACATGGTCTATTTTAAGACCACAATTTACTGTGTTGCAAAACAACAGTTTTTATTTTAAATTGACTGTCCTATATTTCTTTTAACCATTATATGTATGCACCATAAACTCTGGAAACTGTGAATATCTTATTTTCTTATTTTCCAACATTTCACCAGGCAAACTGGCTAAAGTGTTTTAAACACCAATTTCCAGGTGTGACCTGATTTAATTAAAAAATAAATTACAAATGCTGAATACATTTACAGTTGGTTTAGTTTAGGGCAACTATGGACTGAGTTATTCCCATATTTCATGATGTCCATGCTCCTTCCTACTCTATGACAGAAACAAGTTTTCATTAACCTTATTTTCACCAGTAGAGAGGGGTTTTTTTGTGTAGTTTTTTTTATTCTGGCTCTGACACAGCCATTGGGATTGGAAGAGATGGATGACCCTGTTATGCTTTTCTGGCCTTTGAGGTAGGAAATGTGCCAGCAATCTGTAAAGGGCTAATGCCAGCACTACTCCAGCCTACACTATGCACATCTAGAAGGCAAAGAGAATATCTTCAGAAAGGATAAGCCAATCTTTTATGAGACATAAGAAAAATAGTCAATAGCTGTTTTCATACAAAGAAGTTACAATATGCACATAAAATTAATGCAAAGCAATATTCGAGTGTATCTTCTCATCTCCCTTTCTGCAGAGTCTATGCTGTTAATACCCTCAGCAATAAGGTGTGCTTGGAACAATGCTGAGTATAAGGGGCTTGCTCCAACAGACTCCCCACTGTTCCAGCTGTGAGCAGAATCTGTCTGCAGTAAACTCCTTAAAAGCACTGCCTGTTCCTTAGTTGGCACATCATGATATGGAAACTGCTACTAAAGGTTCCATCTCTACTGACAGTGCTGGTAAAAGAGCCACAGTCTTTCAGAGAAGGAGAGGGCTCTCTATACAAGAAAAGGCTGACATAAATGAACAATTGCAATGTAATTCATATTACTCTGATACTCCCTGGTGTGTTTGGCCAGTATATTGGCCCTTTAAGGCACTTTAGTGGTGATTCAACCTGGAACACTAAAGATAGGCATGTATCATAGAACTGAACCAGGACTGGTGCAAATAATGAAGATTCTAGAGATAGTGGAAGATGTTACAATAGTGGTTTGTTGGGGGCTTTAGTAAGCTAGGAAATGTATCAGATTTGAATGGAATGGGGTCCTCAGAAGCAAGAAGGACATCCAGAATTATGAATAATAAGTAACATTTTAAAATTAAGGTGAAATTTCAAAATACTTAATATAAAATAAAAAGAATAACTAAGTGGTTATTAGAAGTTGCTTTTAAAAATGAACAATGTTTCATGCTCATATATAGCATCACCTTTCATCAAAGGTTTTCAAAGTGCTTAAAGATCTGTATCATCAGGTCATTCTGCAGGTGAGGAAACTGAGGCACAGAGAGGTTAAGTTATTAGCAAAAAGTCACAGAGTGACTTAGGAGAAGAGCTGAGAACCAGTCTTCCGACTGCCATTCTCTTACTCTAACCATTAGATAATAATGCCTTCTTGCCATACCATTGGATTATAAGATACTATATTTTAGAAATAATTCTAAACCCCTACAATAGAGATAGTTTGGTGCAGTCTATGATCTAAATTCCCTTCAACTTTGGGAAAATTTGGTTCTAGTTTTAAACTTTGCTGATTGGATTCTTTTCTAATAGTTAATGACCTGTTACATGGTTTTTATAAACTGAAATACCTAAAATCATGTATATATTTTGCTACAACATATTATAAAGCCTCTTATAATATATTGGGACAAAAGTAATTTCTAGTAATTGTTTCTTGATTATTAATCATTATTAAATAATGCCTAAATTTAAGTGTCAACCAAATTTCCTTACACCTGTAATTTTGCTCTTAGCAAAAGTTTGTGTACTAGTTTTTCATCTAGTAATCTTTAGAATCCATGTATGCTATAAGCAAGAATGAACTTTAGTCAGGCGAACTATAGAAATGAATGCAAAGAGGACAAAGCTTTATGCCATGAAACCCTTTGGCAGATGTGGTACATACCGTTATCTTCAGGTTTAAATAGCCTCACTCCCCTGAAACAACTATGATGAACTTTCAGTCAATATTTGGCAATTGATGAGTTACTGAAGCTGCATCACTCCTGTAAGTGCAGCTGTGCTTGATTACAGACAGAATTATTACTGTTTTAAAACAATGGAGCAGAATTGAACCTCCAGAAAGGAAAGCTGTGGTGTTTTTGCATAATTTTTAGCTGCTCTAGTGCTTCTCTTTTTCTGCTTGTGACTTCATTTCATTGACAGCAATACTAATGGGATCTTCCTTGGTTGTATTTAAATCGAAAGGAACCATTCTTCTCATAAATGCTGGAAAGGAAAGAAAAAAGGAGTGTGAGGAACCAATCAACCATCTGCAAAGAAATACTATCAATAGCTAGTATGTACATAGATTTGCTAGTGGCAGCTACCATAAGTTTGACCTATGCTGTTCTTCACAGTCAGAATTTGTCCATGCTTGCCTGATATACTACTACATGCAAAAAGCTATGTTAAATACAACATTTTGGTTACAAATTTAAAATTTTAAAGTCAGAAAATGCAAGTGATGATGGCACTCATACAGCAACATACTATGGTATACATTTATCAACACAGAGAGTAATATAAGTGCTTATTGGTCAAGAAAAACAGATTTTTTAAGTCCATCCAGGATTAACCTGGCCGAGTTAGTTTTGTTACACAGAGGAAGCCTTAACTTCTACTTTACCTGACATTTAAGAATTGTAATTATGTGCCTTCTATGTTGTATTTACACTTTGTTTGCATTTAATTTTGTAGTTTTTTTAATAAGAAAAAACCCCCAGAAACCCCCCAAAGAAAATACCCTTTTTAGTGGAACATTCTAGAGGAACAAATTGTATTGGCCCCAGTATTTTTATGACATCAGAATTAATGCATATGCACTTTAGGCGTGCATGTGTAATTTTTTAATTCTTGGTTCTGGGTACTTCCACAAACTTAGCTTGATATGGCACAAAGCCCCAAAGTAAATATGAACTAGATGCAGCATCTAGTAATTATCCATTGGTAAAAAGAACATTAACAGGATGATAAAGACTTGACAAGAGGCAGAGGCACCAAGTTATGAAACAGAATCAAACATCAGGCTTCTAGTTCTACAAAATGTCATTCTTGTACTGTCCACGCATGCATCACAAAAGTGTCAGAACACTGGGCCTTCCTGGCAGTTTGTTATAAACATGCTTAGTGTACTTTTTACAAACGGTACTGTAATAACTTAGCAGCTCCCACCTAGGAGCCATGTAACAAGGAACAAGTCTTCACTTTTTAATGTAGAATCCTTCAATTTCCAAAAGTGAAAGTAAAATCACTATCTTGATTCCTTGGCCCTTAATAAATCTTTGAATTATCATTTTTCTGCACCAAAGAAACTGGAATTCTCTTAAGAATTATACAGTGTTCGCTTTCTAAGTGTGAAACCATCATTATTTGCCACAAACTTCTTTTCTGAATGTGCAGCCTCTTCTCTTCCACACTCAGGTAAATCTGGAAAATTTCCATAGACCATATTAGAGAAGCACAGTCTACCAATCTGAGCACAAGACTGAAGACAGGAACTCTTGAATTCTAATCCTGGCTCTGCTGCTGTCTCCCGGTGACCATGGGCTAGTCATAAGTTAACTACTACTGGATGCACATCAGTGAAATGGGGATAACTCTACTTACCTCACAGCAAAGTTATGAGGCTTTGTGGTTTGTAAAAGGCTTTGCAGATGAAAAGCAATAGGTAAGTACTATAACGTATTCAGTTTTGTTAGGTAAGGAGTCCCAAATCTGTGATGTGACTCCCGTTGCAGAACATAAAATTAAGAGGCCCCTTCGTGCGAGACAATTCAAAGGAGTAATGATAATAATGAAAACCTAAGGGCTGTTTTGGATAGAAACACAGCCACCCCCCCAGTGTGAGGCTGTGACAGGTTGGCAGGAAACATGAAGAGCACATTTTTCACTAATCTCTCAGTCATGGTACTATTTATTCTCTAAACATTTACAATGCTCATCTCCTAAGAAAACTAGAAATGCCTCATTCATAATGCAATTTCTTTTGGGAAATAAAGAGAAAAGCTATTAGAGAGAGACTGCTGGTAAAATTAAACAAATTTTTGCAATGTCATTTTTTGCAGCTATCAGGGAAAAATAAAAATAAAACACATATCAAGTTCCTCCCATAAGACCTAAGAACATAAGAACAGCTACACTGGGTCAGACCAATGGTCCATCTATCCCAGTATCTTGTCTTCTGACTGGCTAATGCCAGCTGCTTCAGAGGGAATGAACAGAACATACAATCACTGAGTGATCCATCCCCTGTCATCCACTCCCAGCTTTTGGGAATCAGAGGCTAGGGACACCCAGAGCATAGGGTTGCATCCCTGACCATCTTGGCTAATATCCATTGATGGACCTATTCTCCATGAACTGATCTAATTCTTTTTTGAACCCCATTATAGTTTTGGCCTTCACAGCATCCTCTGGCAACAAGTTCCACAGGTTTGCTGTGCATTGTATGAAGAAATACTTCCTTTTGTTTGTTTTAAACCTGCTGCCTATTACTTTCATTGGGTGAACCCTGGGTCTTGGGTTACGTGAAGGAGTAAATAACACTTCCTTATTCACTTTCTCCACACCAGTCATGATTTTATAGACCTCTATCATATCCCCTCTTAGTCATCTCTTTTCCAAGGTTAAAAATCTCAGTCTTTTTAATCTCTCCTCATGCGGAAGCTGTTCCATACCCCTAATCATTTTTGTTGCCCTTCTCTGTATCTTGTCCAATTCTAATATATTTATTTTGAGATGGGGTAATCAGAACTGCACGCAGTATTCAAGGTATGGATTTATATAGTAGCATTATGATATTTTCTGTCTCCCTTCTTAATGGTTCCCAACATTCTATTAGCTTTTTTGATTGTTGCAGCACATTGAGTGGATGTTTTTGGAGAACTATTCACAATGACTCCTAGATCTCTTTCATGAGTGGTAACTGCTAATTTAGGCCCCATCATTTTGTATGTATAGTGGGGATTATGTTTTCCAATGTGTGCATTACTTTGCATTTATCAACATTGATTTTCATCTGCCATTTTGTTGCTCAGTAACCCAGTTTTATGAGATTCCTTTGTAACGCTTCACAATCTGCTCTGGATTTAACTATCTTGAGTAATTTTGTATTGCCTGCGAATTTTGCCATCCTGCTGTTTACCCCTTTTTCCACATCATTTATGAATATGTTGAACAGCACTAGTCCCAGTACAAATCCGTGAGGGACACCACTATTTACATCTCTCCATTCTGAAAACTGACCATTTTCTAATGCTCATCACATTCAGGGCTTTGTCTCACTGGTCTCTTCTCATTAAAGCTAATTTCATTTTGTAGGAGGGAGGAATGGTCTAATGGTTAGTAAATCTGGGTTCAACTGGGCTCTGCCACATATTTCCTGTGTGACCTTGGATGTCACTTAGTCCCACTGACTTCAATCGGGCCAGAACTTCACTCTTAATCTTCATGTTTGTTGCCCAAATGGGGATAATACTATTTCCTTTATTCCACTGTTTGTCTTGTCTATTTAGACAGTAAGCAATTTGGGACAGAGTCTATGTCACGGTGTTTGAATACAGTTTAGCACAGTCTTTGTTGGGACCTTTTGGTGCAACCATAATATAAATAATAATAAAATAAAATAATAATCTGCAATAAGAAAAAGTCAAATAAAATGATGATTTTTCCATCTTTCCCACTAACGTGGGAAACTTGTAAACCATTCTGTCTACCACACCATGAGCACTACAAACTGAGCAGAAAAAGAAAGAAAATGGGAAAGATAATAAATATATGGGCAACACTTTAGGGCTTTAGGGCTTTTTTGTTCTGGTTTATTAACAGCAGGAAGTGATAGACTCAGATGGATTTCAGGGAGCAGTAAGTTTCAGACACTAAGAATCTTCTAAGGCAAAAACTTGAATACTAGAGGAAAACACACAGTGAGTGGTATCTGGGCATAGAAACATTGCCTAGTACGTCTCACTTGGTTTGTAAGAGAGTACACTTCCAGCACTCTTCTTGCAAACACAGTTTATCTCTCTGGAACTATATGCTTGCAAAGTTGATGACATTTTCTACAAACTCAGGCCATGTCTACATTGGGAACACTTTACAAGTATAGGTATAGGTATAGGTATATGAGTATAGGTATAGGCATATGATACTAGCTAAGTGCTCCTAGACTAGACACAGTTTATACTTATACCAGGAACTCTTACCATTATAGCTTATTCCACCACACCTGAGCAAAGCAAGTTATACTAGCAAACAAGCACTTTTGTCAGCATAGCTGTATCTACACTAGGGGCTTCTGCGGCACAGCTCCCACAATTTTATGAGAGAACTCCTCATCACACCTGTGACTGACACAGCTCTGTTGGCAGAAATCTGTGGCATAGACCTGCCCTCAGCATGCAATTTTCAAAATGTTCCTGTCTTTGGTTAATTTCAAACATTTAGCAGAGTATTACTGACAAACCAGATTTCAGAGTTCAGCCATTTTTGAGTTGTCTGGTTGAAAAAAATATAGTAAACTTTTCTTTTACAGTGGAAAAGGTCTATTCTTTTTTCATCATCCCACAGATAAAAAGGGCTTAACAGAACGTTTCAGGTGTGTTTTTCCAGAGAGCTGAGAAGGTCTTAAAAGCAGTGATTTGCAATGCATATTATTTTCACTACCAGCTGGTAGCCAGTACAAAGGAATTGGTATATAGACTTATACAGATGTAACAGTAGACAGTTCCTGTTTGCCTTTCCAGTAATACAAGAACTAGAAGGCTCCTGATAAAATCAGAGGCAATAAATTTAAAACAAATAAAATAAATCCTCTTTTAATCCAATGTATAATTAACCTATGGAATTTGTTGCCATAGGATATTGAGGCAAAAAGTTCAGCAAAGATTTAAAAAAGGATTAGACACCTATGACTAAGAATTGAATCTGCAGTTGCAGTAACTAAGATAAAAATTTTAACAGCTATCACCCTGTGCTTGAGATGTTCTTTCAAAATGTGGTCTCTAGGCTCATCTTCCTGGCCCATTGTTCCAACCACTTCACACCCATCTTTTCACCCCACTCTCTCCCTGTCCCCCATCTCCAATTTTACACCATATAAGGCCCTTCACCATTTAGTCCTAACTTGTCTTTCAAATCTAATTTCTTACTGCAACGTCATCCCCTGACTTTGGTCTGCCCATGACGTCTGCCTTGATCACAGCTTGCCTACTTTCCCCACATGTGCC